TTATAGGTCTATAATCATCAAGACTTCCAATGTTAGATTCCTTAGGAATAAGGGTAATAAAAGTATGGTTAATACCATGTTCCCATTCTTTCCCCACAAAAAATCTGTGAAAAAACTGCATAATATTCCCCTTAAGAACAGACCAAAACCTTTAAAAAAAACCCAAATTCAATCCATCGGGCCCCGGAGCTTTATTACTATCACAAGACTTTAGAGTTTCCCAAACCTCCTCCTCGGAAAACTCCTTCTCTAAAAGCATATTCTGTTCGAAAGAAATTCTGGGGAAAACCAAACCAATATCTTCAACTTCTAAAGTAGACCGATCATTATAAATTTTGAAAAAATGATCTTTGACCTTGGCTTTGATAACAGTTGGATCGTGAGTAGTATTCCCATCAACAATTAAAGCATTCAGAGCATTTCGTTTCCTCCTAACTGAAGCACAAGTATGAAAGAATCTTGTGTTTCGGTCCCTATCATTAAGCCACTTCTTCCTAGAATTTTGAAGCCAAATCTGCTCCTCAATTCTGTGAAGTCTCCATAACTCTGCTCTACAAACACTAAGCTCTTTAGCAATCCCCTGAACAGAGCTGTTATTCAGCTGCTGGGCGTCTTCCTCAAGCTTCTGAATTTTCTTTTCCAAATCTGATATTGCTACTCCCGGAAATTGATTATTCTTCCCTGACCATTTCTTGATGGCAGCTTTAGAGTTCTTCAAAATACTTAAGATCCCACCTTTTCTCCCAGTCTTCTTACAATCTGTGATAGAATGTCTGACCATATCCTCAAAGCCGTCTTCCTCCATCAGATAATTAAGAGTCTAAACGGTCTTTTCCCCCAATCAATATCTTCATCTTTCAATAAAATAGCATTGTGATCTGAAATGGATTTAGGAATAAGAGACTGAGAAATCTCAGGAAAAGTAGCTAAAAATTGACCATCCACCAAAAATCTGTCCAATCTAACAAAAGTTGGATCATCTTGGTTATTACACCAAGTGAACCTTCCCCCATTCAAAGGCAGATTAATCAAACCTAAAGACTGAATAAACTGAGAGAAAATCCTCATAGAGAACCTATTCTGTGCTTTACCCACCTTCTCATCTTCACACAAATAAACATTAAAATCTCCTCCAACACAAACCGGCAGGTTCTGTCCAGAGATGAACACACTGAGTTCTTCAAAAAAACTCTCTTTTTCTTCCTCCACTGAAGGCCCATAAACATTAATGAGGACACTTCTGAATTGATGCAGCCTGAATTTCCCTACAACAGCAATGAATCTTCTGTTAATGCAGTGATTTTCCATCTCAAACACATTGTCATCCCAACAACATAATAAGCCCCCTGAAGAACCAATAGCTGGAGATTCAATAACACTCTGAAGATTATTCAGTCCATTCCTTCTCAGAAAAGACCTTTGAACCTTCTCTACTTTAGTTTCTTGTAACCAAAGAAAAGAAGGATATGAGCTAGAGACCAATCTCTGGACTGCTTTATGTTTTTCTCTTTTCCCCAAGCCCCTAACATTCCATGAAATTATTGCTAATTTGTCTTTCATTAAAATTTCTTGAGAACCTGACTTCCCCACTATGGCAACTCAACTGGCCAAATTCAAGCCATGTTCTAGTTTAATTATTTTGTCCAGAAAAGCTTCATTCCCCTTAGTAAAAGAGACCCCCAAAATCTGACTCACTTGCCATGTGGCTACTGCTTCATCTAAAAGCTCTGAAAATTCTGTAGAAGAGGCTGTAGAAATATTGACATGTTCTAGAGCTTCTCTTACCAATGATCTTCTTGCCCTTCTTTTGCAAAATCCTGATTTGGAATTAATCAAATGACTGTCCGTAACACAACCCTCTGGCTCTCCATCGAGACTACTAATCCCAGCTTTCTCTACTAAATTTGTCTCCTCTCTGCCTGGAGAATTAAGCTCTGCTGCTGTAGAAATCTTTTGTATTGGCGTGCAGACCTGATCACAAACTTTGTTTTGAACTGGAACAACCTCTGTACCATTAGTTTCCTTATGAATCTCCCCATGCCAATGTTTTCTCTCCCTCCTTCTATAAACTTTGCTGTAACTGGCCATTCTCCTTCTCTGTAGAGGCTCACTTTTTGTGGATAGCGAGCTTCTATGCACCACCATCGCTTTATTTCTTAACTGGCTCTTCAAACAATTCGAGTTAGGAACTATCAGCGAAGAATTAGGATCAGGAACCTCAATATCTACACTGGCAGACGAAGCTGAAATGCAACTGGTCCCTTTATTCTTGTTTTTAACACTGCTAGCCTCTATAATTCCCCTGTTTTTAACCAGTTTACCAAACCTGTTAATTGTATATCCTGGCCCAGAAGGAAAAAACTTTGAAGCCTCCGATCCAGTCAGCTCATTGTCAACAGATAGGGCCTCCGGCCCATTTGCCGAAATATTTGAATTTCTTATGCCCAAACCTGCAAACTCACCTACTATGGTATTCCCACCATTCCGAACACCTGACAACCCTCTTTTAATGCCTTTCCCATGTTTAGAAAGTCTTGGAAAGTGCATTTCCCCATCAGACTGTGCTGTGCCGAAAGAGACACCATCATCATTCCACAAGTCAACCTTCTGTCTGAACATCTCTGCTGATTTGACTGAACTTTCCTCATATTCTGACTTCTCCCTGACTCTACCTTCCTCAGACCCCAACTCGCCATACTATTTCCCATCTGCAACGATCACCGGAAAAAATTTGAAAAAAGGATTTGCATCTTCCCAGCCCTCTCCAACTTTGATCTTAATCCGATACGATCTGCCATAGGATCCAAAATTAGTGAATTCTGGAACATCGAAAGGACTTGCAACTCGCAAAAGAATCCTCACAGACGAGAGATCCTCCCTGTTCTTAGTGGACTCATGGATTTCTACCATACTTCCCCATCTTCCAGCAGCTCGTTCCAAGAAGGATTCATCCCAACATAACAGAGGAACCCCACTTAACTCAAGCTGACAATAAGCCATTGGAACACCTTCTTCATTCAGTAAAGGTGCTAATCTATCAAAACAAAAGTTTATTACATCTCTCTTCTTTGTCCATGCCTCCATCATTTCTTCGAGAGATTTGAAAATGATAACACAGGAATTACGGGCATAACCCCAACCAACAATCTGAACTTTGTAACCATTAGTAATGAAGAACTCCTGAACTGACTTAATATCTAAAGAGAGCTTAAAAATCCCTGTTAAAGATCTTTTGACCCAGTTCCGATTATCAGAGGGAATATGCATTTCCATAACATTCTTCAATGCTTTCTCCCTTTGATTCCCAACAGAATGTGTCTCCCTATACCCCAAAGTATTGTTCCTCATATCCTCAGTCAGTAAAGCCTCTTTGTACGATCTGTCATCCCTAACACTCCTACTGGAAAAATCAGCCTCTTTCAACTTTGAAGGACCTGCTGTAATCGAAACTGGACCCAACTGAACTGGACTATTCTTGGCCACATTCCTTGGACGAACTTCATTGTATTTTGCAACACCAACTGAAATCCTTCTCCCATCTATCAGTGAATCATTTAACATATCAATTGCTCTCCTCAAACCAGATTCCCTCTCAAACTGAACAAAAGCGAAAGTGGAAAATCTATATTTTGGGTTTTTAGTTTCTTTCGGGATGAAAACTCTCTCCACAGTTCCCTGAGACGAAAAAATATCTCTAAGCTCACGCCGAGAAACTCTCCTACTTAGATTATCGACAAAAGCCTTCCAAACCTCGCCTGAACCTATTTTCCCTTTCAACTTTTCTCTCTCTCTCTCTACTTTTCTCTCTCCCATGTTTGTTTTTTTACTTCAATTGGGTTTTAAAAAGTGTCAAAAGAATTTAAAGTCTGAGCAGCTTGACAAGTTGAAACTATTCAAGGCCATGTTGGAGCGCATTTTAGCTTTCTTATCTAAAAAAAGAAAAGAAAAAAAAGAGTGACCCTTTGTGTGTTATTATTATACACTTTGCAGCTCCTTGTGAATCTCCCGACAGACTACTTTGGGTTAAGTGCATTGTACATACATTCATATATACATACATACAAGTAATAATTACTGATCCGTTGTTATTACTCTTTTTTTCATTCAATTAATGTAGTGCCGGAGATGGGATGTTTAAAGTTAAAGAAGGTCGTGGTTGAGGGATTTATAGGTGATGACTGAGACCATATAGGTGTTAAGCTCGTAGGATCATATAGGGAGATGGGTTTTGTTTTTTGCTTTATGTTTGTTAGGATTTTGGGAAGGAGGGGACCATTTTCCATTTTCCACAAGTCCCTCTCAAGGGGAAAGCAAAAGGATCTGTAATGGTAAATGCTATAGAACAAGACAAAGTTGAATTTTTATATCTGCTTTGCATTTTTATGTTTTTTCTTTTGGGTGGGGATTTTTCCAAACAGTACTTTTTCAGTTGCTGCTGAGACTCAGACGTTCAGAATGAGAGAGGGAGATGTGATGAAATTGCAAGGACAAAACAGCATTTGACTCGCTGGTTAAACTTGTGATTCACGGCGAATATAAACCAAATATCTGTTATAGCTACATCTTAGTTTTATTATTATACCAACTTTCTTGATCAAAAAGAAATTTCAGGATACTAAACCAAGCTGGAAATCGACCCTGCTTCCCAATTTATTATAGAATATGTAAATCCTCAAACTGGTTCATTGAATTTCTTTGCATGAAAACGACTCGACTGGAGAGCAAGAGAGACATATTCGTAAAATAAAATATCGAATGGCATGTCATAATCAAACTTTGACTTGACCTGCACTCCTTGCTAACAGTACTAGGGCAATACAATCTATCTGACTCGATGAAATTAATCAGTTTCTAGGCACTCATGCATCCAACTAAACCTAGCCAATCACACAAACATGCATTCCATAGTCCTGCGACCTGCATTGCAATCCAATATAATTTCCAGGACCAGGGTACAAGGCAAAATTCAGCTCTGCAGTAATTTTGCACATGGGGGATAATGATAAATATGAGGTTTAACTCACTTTCAAACAAAGAATCTAGTGTACAAAATGAACTAGAAATTAATTGTTGTTGCAACTTGCACATCACTTTCCTTTGGGGGAATCCAGACAGGAAACATACCTAATAAGCCATACACAAAGATACAATGCAAAGCTCAGAAGCTGAAGCACATTCTGGCTACCTTATTGTGTCAAAGGCTAGCATACAATTGAATAATCCATCTCCAGTCTCGAAAGAAGAAAAACAAAGACAAAATACGAGCCTTCATGAGGTGAAAATGTCCAGATTTTCCTTCCAATTGAGACATCACCTGGATGTTCCATCTCATAATCATCCTCATACTCTTCATCATCCTCGTTGATTTTGTCCCCACTCTCATCTTCATCACCATTTTCAGCTGTAACATTTACTTCCTCAATCAAATCCACATTCTCAACTGACTTTGCCACTGTGTTGTTATCGACATCCACACTTGTTTTGATCTGCATAATAAGGTTTTAGGTAGAGTAAAAAGAAGACCGAAGATGGAAATCATATCATCCCAACACAAATGGTTCAGGATTTACCTTAACTGCCTTGCTTTCCAAAATCTCCACATGTTTCAATGCCATGACCTGCACTAAATTAGATCTTCTATTCCCAGTATCCACTTCTCCTTCCAATGCACCATCATCAGGCTCCTTCCTATTTCTTCTGTTCCCAGTATCCCCTTCTCCATCCAACCCACCATCATCAGGCTCCTTCCTAGTCTTCGAGACATCAGATGAGGCTTGTGCTACTGTGGCTGGCTGTACTGTAAAATATTTATAAAAGTTTTTTTAGAAGAATCAAGAGTTTTCACCACTTGTGAAGCTTAAGTCATATCCAATTGACCAATACAATCAAGTAAGAACACAAAAATATGATCCAAACATAGAAAACCCGGTTAAATAGAAAAATGGTTTCCTCCACAAAGGAAACTATTTTACACAATTAAATAGAATAATGGGCAACGATATCCTCCACAAAAGATCCTTTCTATGGAACATAATTCAATATGCATAAATGGTTCCCTTATATGCAATTAGGCATTCCAGTACAGTAAACATTCACCAACACCTGAAAACACAGATCATAACATTCAAATGTAATGAAACAAAAATCAGACTTCAAAATTTCAGTAACCATCTATGTTGTGGAGGGCTTTTGTTTTTTGTTTCATATTTTATCTTAGCATGTACCATTGTATTCAAATCTGAACAATATAATCGTGCTTGCACCATAATTCAACACAGACAAGTATGAAATGAGTAAACAACCTCCAAACTTGAGCATAAATTGACATTTGAACAGTAATTATCAAGTTCCAGAAATATTCCTTTTTGAAAATTTTAAGCAATAATAATGTTAAAAAAATGCGACCAAAAGGTTTTTTGTTCTTTTTACCACTTTTAATCCATTAATTCCAAGTCTAACACTATCATATGCAGCTAAATAGTACAACTGAATCCCAAAACTTCAATCATTTTATTTGAATCCTAAACAATGTACTGATATATAGTTCTTTGAGGATCGGGAAGTGCTGATTCGAGAATCAACTCAATTTATTCGTAGATATATATTTATAACATGTAATAAATTATAGTATACTATTATATATCATATACTATATTTAAATTTCACTGTTTTCTCCTCAAAAACGAAAGAAATGAGCCCAGCAAATCAATTTCACAGCTAATGCTCGTCTCGAGACACTTTTCATTCCAAACATATATTTTCTGGTCCAAGAAAGGAGAGTGGTAGCCGAACCATCTGATCTGCAGAAGAGTCTCAAAAGGTCTGATAAACCATTTTTATTTCAATATTAACAGCCAGCCCAATTAAAGGCTCGGCACAAGCAAGTTTAACATGCAAAGGCAGACTTGGCACTTAAAAAACTCGGAATAAAATTCTTTTAAAAGAGAATTCTATAAAACAACAAATCAGCATTTCTCCCCTTTCAATTAATTAAAAGGGAAATTTATCAGAATCTAGTCAAAGCATCCCACAACATTAAAAGCAACATTGTATGACATTAACATATTCCCAGAAGTCATTGAGAATATTACATATACAATAAAATGGAACTTACCCCCTGGATCGCCTGAGATTGTATCGGTTTTCTCCTGGGGTTGAGAGGCCCGGAGCAACTGTTTGTTGCCTCTTCCTTCTCCCACCAGCTGTGACACTCCCAGAGTGTCCTTCACTGTCTGCAGCATCCAACTCACTAACTTTCGAATTTTGTGGGAGTTGCCGCTTTCTTGCATTACTGCGTGCTCTTGTCCCCTTGGCAGTATGGCCAGAAACACCAGCACTTTCTTCACTGACATGGCTGGTTTCATGTGGCTGCACCCTCTTACTAGGCTCAGGTCCTTCAAGGTTTTTGCCAAGGAATAGTTTTGCTTCTTCAACTACAGCCTTCACAGAGCGTGTTCGACCCAGTTCAGATTTATGTTTTCTTCTAGGTTTGCGGTGACTGCGGTGATCACTCTTCTGCTCTGACTGCTGAGAATCTTCAGGAATTTCTTGCACCTTACTCTCACTAAAGCTCTGATCAGCAGATGGGACAGATTCATCACCCACCTCTCTCACCGTATTAGATTGGAGCAATTGGTTATGGATGGAGTCACCTGGAATCCCTAAATCCGGCTCTCCTGCCTCTTCTTGAATACCAGCTCCTGCTTCTGTAGCAGTAAGCATACTAGGACCGTCATCTTTACTTTCATTTCCCTTAGTCGGTGAAATGTTAAAAAACTTAGTGCATTTGCGAAGCCAGGATATGCGCCTGGCAGATTCTGGATATGCAGCATCAGCTTCAGGAGATCTCTTGATATTTGAAACACCAGAACCACCTATATAACCTTGCTGACGGCTTAAGGTTTCATCAGCTAATCGAGGAAGAGGGATTTCCGTATCCTGCAAATCAGGAATTTGGAAGTTAGAGAGTACGAAGTCCCTGGTTACTTCTCCACAGTTCTTGCATGACTTGTACTTCTCAACAAATTCAAGGAAGCTATGTCTTTCACGGATAAACTGTTGCCGCTGCTCTTTGAGTCTGCTGCTAAGGATACCAAGTTCATCAATATCCTTCTGCATTTCTAGCTGCTGCTCTTTCAGCTTATCCCTGTTAACTGCAACTTCATTTTTTTCCCTTTCCACAGCACGCTTCGCAGACTTAAGTTCTTCCACTTTCCTCTCAGCATCTTCTTTTGAGCATCTCAAACTAGCAAGTTCTCTCTCCTTCACCTCCTCAAATGTGTCATTCCTTTCTTGCAGATCTTTCCGCATTCGATCAAATCTATTCTGCATATCAGTTTCAAGATTCATTTTCTGCAGCTCAAAATCTTGAAGCATTTTAATTCGCTCATTCTGAGCTTCTTCAAGTAAAATTGATTTTTCATGCTTCGTTGTGGCTTCAAAGGATTCTTTCTGCAACCTGACTGATTCCATCTCCCTAGTAATATAGTTTTGCATAGTGGATTCTTCTTTCTTCAATCTTTCTTCCTCTGAATGTTGCAACTTTCCAAACTTTTCCTTTTCTTTGTCAATCTGCTTTTGCAGCATAAGGATCTCAGCTCTTTTTTCATCCAAAACATCCCACTCTTTCTCAAAATTTTCCTTTTGCTGTTTGAGGTCTTCATGTTCCTTCAAAAGTAACTCCTCTTGACATCTGCAGTTGACTATCTGCAGCTTCAATTCAGACTGCAATCGGTTATGTTCAGCTCTCTCCTGTTCAGTAATTTTAAGCTTTTCAGACTCTTCTCGAATTCGCAACTCTTGTTGACTAGTTTCAGAACTTATCTTATCAATCTCATCTTTGAGAGCCTGTAAGTTCTCTCTAGCAGTGTACAGCTGTTGCTTTTCCAACTCCAAACTTTCCTCCTCAGTTTTCAAAAATTTCTCTTTATCCTTGACTGTTTTCAACCTCACCTCAAGGTCCTTTTCTTTGTCCTTCATTCTCTCCAACTTCTTATCCAGTGCCTGTTCTTGCTTCCTCAACTTTTCTTCCTTGTGATTAACTTCAGCTTCCTGCTGCTTTACTTCATGTATCTTGCTTTCTAGTTCCTCATCAACAGACTTCCTCTTTTCTTCCAGTTCCAATTCAAACTCCTGCATTTAGCATCTAGAATAACCCTTTGCTCATCGATAAGTTTCTGAATCTCCACCTATAACGATCCAAGGAGTTAAAGAACTTGAGGCATAATCTCATGAAAAACATACAATAAAAGACTAATACAATCAACAATGTAGCCAAATACAAGAAAAAGAGAGACGTAAGCATCTGTGGTTTAGAGAATACTTAGCTATTTTTCAGACACCGTTGTTTGCCTAAAAAATAGGATCATTGCTACTTGCAACGGTAATAAAATTTTGGGCACTCTTTTCCTCCTTCCAATGGCTGTCGAGTTCTTCGAAGCTTGATGGTTGTGAAGGGGTTTTTTAATGAGGCCCTATTCTTATAATATATATATATACATACACAACCATTTATCAAATTTATAGCACCTAATTGCAGTTCTTCGTATTTATAAAGGAAAAAAGGTTACCTACAATCACTATGGAAACTTTTAAACCTTAGGTGAAGAAAGTTGTAGCATCATTACTTTCACATCTTAAGGTCTAATGATTGCAAATAGGACACCAAAATCAAGTTAATGTGCCACCAAATTCCTCATGATCCAATTAATAGCATGCTGATCCTCTCAAAGGATGCTTACCTTAAAAAATAGTCTCACAACCAGCAAAGACTTATCGCTTGGTGTGTTTCTTATGCATGGAAAGTGCAGAACACAATACAGATTGCCAAAAGAAATGGATAAATACCACAGATATTGAAGCCAATAAAAAAGATTAACAAGTAAATATGGCATTTTTACATTATTTACAAGCCAAGATAAAATAACAAATTTTTTATCTCACCCTTTCTCTAGCAGTAAGCATTTCTTCCAATGCAACTAGATCCTTCTCTTTTGCCTCTAGGGTACTTCTCATGGACTCAGATTCCTACAATATTTAACAAATGCTATAATCAGAATTCAAGAACAAACTCAGAATAAAATAATCACTAAATTAGGCACAAAAACACCTTTTCTTTTGAAACCAAGTCTGCGAAACGTTTGCCTATATCATCTTCCATCTCCTTAACTTCAATGTGGATAAATCAATATTATTTGCAGCTCTTCAAGGCTCTTCTCTTTCTGCTTGAAAAGGCTTTCACTCTCATTTGCCTTTTCCTCCCTCCGGTTAAGCATTCTCCGAAGTTCAGTCAACTTCTCTTCTCCTTTCTTTAGTATCTTCTCCCACTCATTCAAGTCTTCCCTCTGTTTGTAAAAAGTTGCCTGATGAGCTTCTCGTCTAGAAGCAGTTCCAAATGCATAATGAGAGAAATTTATCATGAGAAGTGAGCATAATACAAGAAAGTTCAAGTAAAAAAAACCATCTGAACACATAATTAAAAGTTGATTAAGAGGAATACTCTGCAACTAAGGAGAGATGCTCTCTTTGGAGAACACTTTCTCTAGCCTCTATCTCCTGCAATTTCATTTCCAATTCTGAACTTTTTCTATTGGCCTCTGCAAGCCTACTATCAGCAGCACGCAGTTTTTTTTCCACCTCTAAGGATTTTCCTTCAATTCCAGAAATCAATGCATTTGCATTAGCCAACTTTGTATCAGAACTAAGTTTAACCTGGACATGTTCTTCTTGTATATCACGCAATGCTTTTTCAAGCTGCAACAAGAGATATGACCACAATACCAATTTCAATAAGTTAAAAAGACAGAGGATTAGACAGGTGAACAAAAAATGAGCACTAAGGATGCATCTAAACAGAAACATTATATTCGAAATTGGGAGGTTTAGGGATTCCGAACTTGCTGCTCTTGAATAGGGCTCTTTTGGGGAAATGGGTTTGGAAATTTGCTTCAGAAAAGAACTCTTGGTGGAAAAAAGTGGTCTGCAGTGTGAACAATTTGAATACAAATGCTATGATGATTGGGAATAATTGGACAGTTAGAGCTTCTTGGATTTGGAGAGGAGTTGTTCAAAATTTCTTTTCTATGGATGAATTTGGGGATTGCCTTAGAAAAAACATGTGTTTGAGAGCTGGAAATGGAGAATTAGTGGAGTTTTGGAATGATACATGGCTGGGCATTGTTCCTCTCAAGGAAAGGTTTCCGAGACTATTTGCATTATCGAATAACAAAAGGGGTAAGGTGGCAGATTTCAGGATGCACAGCAACTCAGGATGGGTGTGGGATATACAAGTGAGAAGGAATTTGGTGGACTGGGAGGTTGACCAATGGTTGCAGCTTATTACATTGTTGAATAGTACCACTCTCTCATTATTAGAGGAAGATTGTTGGACATGGTTAGGTAATGGTGAGGGCTGTTTTTCAGCTAAATCGTGTATCACAAAGTTTTATGATTAGGAGGGTAATGAGGGAGAGGAGGGTAATTGAGAGAGGCATGTTTGGGCAGGGGTTGCTCCTCCACGAGTAGAATTTGGCAAGTTGCACATCAAAGAGTAGCAGTGAAGGAGGAGCTGTCGAAGAGAGGAGTGGCTGGGATTGAGGACCTTTTATGCCCGATGAGTGGGAAGGGGGAGAAGTCGATCTCACATTTGTTTTTGCATTGTGAGGTGGTTTGGGTTCAGTGGTCTAGATTTTTGAGGGGCTGGAATGTTTCTTTTGTGGTTCCTAAGAAGGTGATTGACTTCTTAATTTTGTAGGATGAGTTAATTCTGAGATCTACTATTTGGAAATTCATTCCAAGGGCGGTGTTGTGGTCGGTTTGGAAATGTAGGAACGAAATTATTTTCCAGAAAGGGAAAGTGGATTCTGCACTGTTGTTCTTTCTTTCTAGATTTAGAACTGCTTCTTGTTTTGGGGCTAGATTCAAGGATATTAATATTCCTTTCGACTCTCTAGTTGGGGATTTAAAATTGGTAGACTCGATTGGAAGACAGAATCATAGGTGTGATCCTACTTCTAGGTGGATACCTCCACCAGAAGGTTTCATTTAAACTTAATATTGATGGGGTAATGGTTAAGGGATAGGACAAGAATTGGAGGTCTGATTAGGGATGACAGAGGTTTGAAACTAGGAACATTCTCTGAAAAAATTGGAGGAGGTCCTCCTATTCTTGCAGAGTTGTTGGCGATCAAAAGAGGTTTCAGTCTCATCGAGGAGTTGGGATCTTTTCCAACTCAGAGGATTAGTTTGGAGTCAGACTCGACCACGGCCCTAAAGTGGATTAAAATCCAAACTTATATACCCCGTTGTTTCAGTCTTTGGTAAGAGGCGTAGCTAATTATGTGGAAGGAAAGGGCATCATTTTAAGACATATTGTGAGAGCTGCTAACTGGGAAGCAGATGAGTTAGCAAAAGCTGGTATAGGATGATTTGTGGTTATGAGTTATTGTTTTTAGGCTGTGGTGTCTATTCAGTTTTTTTAAGGAGTATGGTTTTAGTGCTGCAGTTTGTGTTTAGGTTGTTAAGTCTTATGTTTTAAGCAGACTATGGTTATGGATTGGTTGTATGTTATGTTCCAGATTAATATAATTCAGAGGCGCTCTTTTCCTCCTTCCTATGTCCTTCATGTAACTTATATAACATGTAGGATATGAAGGGGGGGTTTTAATGAGGCCTATATTTTATAAAAAAAAGGTTCTATAACTATGAAATGGAAGAAAGAGCATACATCTACCACACACTGCTTTTCAGCAGCTAAGGCTTTTGTCAAGTTTTCCTCCCGTTTTTCAACTTCAGATAATGCAATCATGTTTGCCGCCTGCTCACGTCTGAGGATCTCCTCAATTTCAGCAAGTTCTTGCTTTAATTTTTCACACTTCGATGTCCATTCTTTTTTCTCAATGAGGAGCAGTCCCATATTGTACTGATAATTCAAAAGCTACAAAGAAATATATGCATCAAGCAATGATAAACTATTTAGCAAACTTTATATGTGCAGGAACTCAACATAATCCCACAACAAATAAAGAATAAAGCTCAACCATACGAAGTCAACTGCATAACCAATTGAGATGATGACATTTAATAGTATCACATAACTTAATAAAGTAAAGAACAGAAAGGATTGATGTCTCATCAGTTTACAATGGAGTGCAATCATCTTTGTTAAACAATTGAATTACAAAAGAGGGCAGCCAAACAAAGTTCAACAGAAAGATTAATGTTTCACCAGCACTGCAATGATGCCTTGTCACTTGAATAATCAATTCAAATCACTAAGGAGGGCAGCCTATTGATGGGCATTAAACTCCTACAATGTGAAGTATGGGAATGTTCAATATGTATGCCCCTGAACCTTAGTTTATAGATGAATTGATTCCCCGACACAAACATACAAACCCCAGTTCCCAATGAAGCAACCAAAATGTTGCACCAAGGCTTACCAAAAACACTACATATTTTTTATATGTAGGGTGAAAGAAGAAACAAAAATATTCAACACGCACATAAACTGGTTAGCACCTAATAGAAGACCAGTTAAGTTGTGATCAAATGTCCTAAAAGTCCTTCTACCTCACATATACAGCATCAACTAGAACGTAGCAGAAAAGGATATCCAAGTGCAGACGACTAAATACGAGCAGACAATGAAGGCCAAAACAAATAAACTCAGTACAAAGTCAGTGCTGTACTGAACTTAAAAAAGCTAAACAGCAAAATAGCAGCAAAAAATATGACAGAATTTTCTTTTAAGTAGCAGTTAAGCTCAAATATGTACATACCACACATATGGATTGTTTTTTGCCCCAAAACTTCAGTTTTTTTTTGAATAAAAGTTAAACTCTAAATTTAAATTTAAATTTCTAGAGGAAAATATTGACACTCAATAAACTTGCTTATGCAGCGGATGATTCCAACAAAGACAATTGAACTAAGAGCAAATGTTATATAAATTAAGAACAACTTACCTCTCCTTCGAGATTGGAGAGCCTTTCGACAAGGGCCTCATGGTCCCGCCTTTCCAAAGTGGCTTCATCCAACAACCCAGCTTCCTTGAACCGCCGCCAGTCCTCCATGTCCTCGTCTTCCACCCCGACGTTCAGGGGGGCCTTGCCGCTAAGAGAAGCAACAGGAGGCGGTGGCAGTTTATTAACATCGTGGGCAAAAGCAACAGCTTTTCCCTTACCACGATTGCCACCACTGCTAGCGTTCGGAACCCCCGCCGATTGCGGCTCAGCGGGCGGAGTTAGACTTGATGAAGGCCACGCCTTCCTTCGCGACTTGATCATATCACCAAGAACCAGAGGGGTACAAACAAAGAAATTGAAGGAAACTACACTGTTGAAAACCCTAGAAACGTGAAATTATACTTTGAAGAGTGGCCAGATTTCGATCTGATTGCTTGGCTTTATGGTTTTCTTCGTAAAAGATCATTATTATCGGATTCTCTTGCCTGGTCTGCCCGACCAAGGTACTATACACATTCACTGAATTATTTTCTGAGTAAACTATAAGAACAGTCATCCAACGTTTAATATGTTATCAATTTAGTCACACACAAAAAAATCAACCGGAAGTCATCCACTTTTTCAGTTGTTATCAATTTAGCCACCACTGTTACAAAATCGATAAACACTTCATCAACATCCTGACACTGCATGTTGTCTTCAATAAAGTGAAGACGCAGTTAAGACCTAATGAAATCAAACTCGAACCCAAAACATGGAAATTTATATATATTTTTAAATCATGCGTTTCATTAAAAATTCATCTTAATACTAATAAAGAGAAAAAGAGTGTTCGAATACCATTAATCAATAAATAATTATATCATTTTGAACATTTCTAGAAATGATATCAAGACAAACGGAATCATAAAACAAACATCCGCCACTCCTAAGAGCCTAATTTGCTAACTTATATACAACAACGTTACAAGAACAATTAACAAACGTCTCCCCTTTATATCATATGTTTCCATCACCGTCAACGGGAAGTTGCTATCGATTAACAATGTTACATGCCGTAATAGTTTTCAATCAGGGTCGGGGTTAGGACGTTAGAGGTTATGTGTAAATTCTTAAAAAGAGGCCATTAAATCTTAATTTTATCACTGATCCATAATATTTTGTTTACTTTTTTATTGTAACAATAGTAATAAATCTAATTTTTTGAGATCTTATTATTCCGGGGCTCTGTTTCGTCGTACATGTTGTCCATGTGCTAGCCCCGCCTTTGCTTTCAACCTGAATGTCTCCATCACGTTGCAGCCCTTTCTTTTCGCCAATCACACCTATGTAATCCTCATGTATAATCCTACCATTTGAAACCAAGATCAAGGAGGTTGCAGGGTGGACCAATGGGGGTGATTAAGACAAGTCGCCCTTCATATCATATGTTTTAGATTTTTTTTATGTATTTTTATTAGTAATATGCTTTTTGTTTCTTAAGATTTTAGGAGGAGATAAATTTATAAATTATATTAATTTTTAAAAATGTTCAAAATATGTAATTTTTTTAACAATCATTAAGTTTTAAATTATTTTTAATTAAATAACATGTTATAACGGATGATTATTTACTTATTTTATCCTAAAATTTAATAACAATAATGATACGCAAAAAGCATATCCTGACGTATTTAAAAAATCATGGAGATATTCTTATTATAAAATACGAAGTAAAGATGAGATTTATCATCACAAACTGTCTAACAGAGAGAAGGGGTCGCCCACTTGACAATCTTAAAAACCTAAGAAATCCCTGATCCCTCTCTTTCCGAAGAATAGAAGAGATCGGGTAATGGCGGTGGAGAATTCAAGTTCGAAATCGTCTTCAACGGCTGATTCTTACGTAGGGAGCTTAATAAGCTTGACTTCAAAGAGTGAGATCAGATACGAGGGCGTTCTCTACAACATCAACCCCGACGAGTCCAGTATCGGACTAAGAAACGGTACTTTCCTCTTCTCTTCTTATAACCATCGCTTGCTCTATTATTTATGGTTTTGCGCTCTGATTGCATGTAAAATATGACTTCGGCTCAAGCACTTGGCTTTTCCTGGGATGGGATTTGTATGTTTTACCGTTGAATTCAATTTAATGATTGGGCATAATTCGTATATACTAGATTAGACTACTTATTGGTCGAATTTGTTTATTATGCGCTTTTCTGGATTGTTACTTTGAATTCATAGTATGTGCTTATGCTTTTTATGTCTGTGTGGGCAGTTCGATCGTTTGGAACTGAAGGAAGGAAAAAGGATGGCCCCCAAGTGCCCCCAAGTGATAAAGTTTACGAGTACATATTGTTCCGTGGAAGTGACATTAAGGTATTAGTTTTTTTATGCTTAAAGATTTGATTCTTCACTCAGACGGTAATTAAGTTCATCTAGATGTTTTTATATTTACTGTAACTAATGAAATGTCGTTTCTGCTTGCTTATGTAGGATTTACAGGTTAAATCTTCACCACCTGCACAACCTGCAGGTCCTGCACCACCCATAATCAATGATCCCGCAATTATCCAGGTTAAGGACTAAAAATTAAATATTAATTCGAAGTTTGACGTATCAAATCCTGAAGCTTTTCATATCCCTGCAGTCTCACTTTGCATCCCCAGTTTCCACAATTGCTAGCATGCCATCTGCTGCTACTGGACCTTTGACCGATCTTACTCCACACACTACTCAAATGGGATTAGCGGGGTCAAATTTTCAGGCGGCATTACCTCTATATCAACCTGGAGGAAACATGGGATCATGGGGGGTATCGCCTCCACCTCCCGCTATTAATGGTGGTGGGCTTGCTATGCCAATGTATTGGCAAGGATACTATGCCCCCCCAAATGGGCTTCCGCATTTGCATCAGCAATCTTTGCTTCGGCCGTCTCCAGGACTGTTAGTGCCTCCTTCCTTGCAGCAACCATTACAATATCCTAATTTTCACGCTCCTTTGCCTGCTGGCCCTGCTAACTTACATAGTTCAAGCTTGCCTGATATTCCTACTCCTTTACCTCCTTCTAGGACAAGTTCCCTTCCTTTAGCTTCTTCTTTATCATCCTCTACTTTTCCTTCTGCTCTGCCTCTTGCACCCTCTGCTCCACTGGCATCAGAACCCTTGCCTGCTTCATTGCCAAACAAAGCTTTAAGTCCTGCACTTCCTCCAGCTACACTTGGTGCTAGCTTGCCAGCACATTCTCCTTTGACGAGTTCTGGTCCAGAATTAAATTCCATCGTACCATCAATTGCCAACAAACAAAGTGAAATCCCTACTTTGCCGTATCAAAGTGCCTCTCAAGCTGCATCCTCTGTTATTGGGGCTTCAAATTCTAGTCGTGTAGAAACATCTGTACCTTCATTGGTAACCCCTGGTCAGTTCTTGCGGTCAGGATCTACTGTTGTTCCTTCATCTCAGCCTGCGGCAACTACGCATAAAGATGTGGAAGTGGTTCAAATGTCCTCATCATTATCTCCTGAACCATCAGCACCTGTTGTCTCAGAAGCTCAGCCTCCAATATTGCCATTACCTGTTTCTTCCCATATTGCCCGAAAGGTACTTCAAAGTTTCTATTTTTACAAAGCTTGATTTTGCGTATACATTGATTTTTTGGACACATTAGCTTATGTCATGTAACAAATTCTTAAGTTAGTTATATTTTAGAAATTAGCATGTTTGCTTCGACCAGCATTTTTTTACCCTTTGTGCCTTTCGTGATGCAAGGTTCTAGTACCCAAAATGCATGGCACACTGGGTGCCAAGGATGTCTAATAAGTTTAATGGACATTAACATTCTGTATCTGCCTTTGCAACATTAGTTGCAGTGAAATGATAAGAATAATATGGGTGCTACATTCACCATTATTTCCAGTACAAACAACGGTTCTGGTGCCTTGACTTATGTTTTGCTGAATTTGGAGCTTTATTTGAAATTTCAAAATTCTTTTTCATGTATTACTGGTACATGTTTTCAATAGTTCTCTTCTTGGTTGTTGACCATAGGCTATTGGAGAAGGTTTTTACATGATTATGAATTGCAAAAATAGGAAATTAGAACTGATATGAGAAGTTGAACCAAGCAGGGATTCTTAGAGGGTATGATTATCTGGCTCTGATTTGATGGGTTACCCTTGTGGTTTCTCTTGTGGAAGTATGTGTCTCCCTTGTAATGATTTTTTTTAGATTATGCCTTGACAGTTAGTACATACATGGTGGGCATTTTTATTGCACAAGGACAATATTTTGCAGGTTTCTTCTCTTCTTTTTCGCCCAAGTAGTGCCAGCTCCTCAAAAGAGAAAACAACATGACAGGCGTGACATGTTTTTGTGTTTGCTGTGCTGTTTTGTTTAACATGTTGGTTAGCTACAACTGCATATTGAAATGAAGAATATTGTAGTATAGAATTTGATTTGCATTAAGTTCATATATGACTTTCATTCACGATAATTTGCTTAACTGAATGTTGTTAAGGGTCTGACAAGTGTCTTTCAATATTTTTCCCTAGCCAAATGGAGCTTCCTTTCAATCTCGCCATGGTTATAGAGGACATGAAAGAGGAAGAGGAAGGGGAAGAGGAGCTGGGGTAAACTTTATTTACATATAATCTAAATTTGAATTTTTATAAATTTTAAAAGATGAAGCAAGCTGAATATTATTGTCGCCTTGTTGAAGCTATGTGATTAGATATTAAACCTTTTTTATTTGAGTAGGTAATTTATTGTATAGAACACACTAGATGGGTTAATTTGTAGGGATGATTTTTTTTGGCCTATTAAGTTTCTTAAAGAAAATTTTGAATGATGGTTATAATCATTCATCATGGCTGACTATATTATTGATGGTTATGATCTATTTGGTAGAGTTCGCGCCCGGTGACAAAATTTACTGAAGACTTTGATTTCGAAGCAATGAATGAGAAATTTAAGAAAGATGAAGTATGGGGTTATCTTGGTAACAGTAGCAAATCTCATTCTAAGGATAAAGAAGGGGATGCTAGTGACGAAGATGGCTATCAAGATGAAGATGACACTGAGATATCTAAGATTCAAGTCAAGGTTGTACTTCTACCTTGTATCAAACTCTTGTATTAATTTGATTTGCATAAAGATTCCCTACTCACTCTATCAGTTTGGTGTCACTGTACAGCCTGTCTACTATAAGGATGAATTTTTTGATACTCTCTCCTCTAATACACGTGCAAATGACTCACAAAACGGAAAGCCGAGATTCTACGAACAAATGAAATTAGACACAGAGGTACTGATGCATTTCTTTTTTCCCCCTTCCCATTAGCTCTCTGTAATATGTGAACCATTTTTTATGTTGCGGTTTTGGTGGTGTAGACTTTTGGTGAATTTTCAAGATACCGAGGTGGTCGTGGTGGACGAGGCGGCCGCGGACCTGGTGGTCGTTTTCGTGGCGGTTCTTATGGAAGAGGATACGGTGGATATGCGGGGAGTGGCCGTGGATGAGCCATGTCTATCCTCCATAGTTGTCCTTGGTGTTCAAAATCTTTAAGGCTGTTTGGGATGTCATGTCAGATTGCTTTCTTTTATTTGGAATGTTACAATGCACAGTAGAACCCATCTCGCATGGCAAACATCAGACTGATCTAGGGCTATGCTCAGGATTTGTTCTCTTATAATATTTCCAGAAATAAAAGCAGGCAGTATTTTTACTATGTTCTATTGAAATTTCTCGTTGGTCATGGATGAATCTATTAACTATATTGCTCAATTTCAAGTTGAATTTCTACTATTTTTCAACTTTTATGTATAAGATGATGATGATTTTTGTACTTACCATAAGTAGCAGAAGTAAAAGCTATTTCATACTATAATGAAAACGTTCACAAGAGTTTGTTTTATTATTTCTTTTATACTGTATACATTCCAATTTCTTGGTACAATGATTTCTTATTCAAAATAGTAAAGCTATTGTATGGTTTTTGAACATTCCATGGTTCAGAGAAACGCCCTATATTAGGCAAAGAGTGTCAGCCTACTTGCAAGTGGCAACGAGTACTCTTCTTGGGGGCAGAGAAGGCCGACGTCCATGGAGCAAAGCCATGTTGTCAAAGAAGAGCAAATCTCCCTTCTCCCACTTGAATTGAATGCTTTCTTCCTCTATGATCTCTCCACATCTCTTCACTACTTTCTCCGGTATCTCCGTTCCATCTGCCATGGTGGCCGAGCTCAACTCTTTTCCATGCATACCGACCACCGTGTTAAACCACATCCTCCTCCCCTTTCTTCCATCAAACACCCTTGTTAGAGCTCGAGGTCCCAACATCGCCTTCACCGCTCCATTAGGTAGCCACTCCAAGTCCATTCCCAGCGCTTTTGCTCTGTATCAAATTTTTGCATTTGATTAGGCTTCAGTCTATCTCACAAGGATCATAAGCATATACGTGTGTGCTTCAATTTTAGTTTAATATTAAATATACAGCTTAAATGTTCAATCAAAGTTGAACCTTCTCTCGGCCTCTGCACGGTCAGATGTCCCGAAAGTATCCTCCCAGCCTCTACCCCTCATTGAGGATGTATCATTCTTGCTGAGGGCTGTGAATGAGTATTGTAACCCCTTGGCATCCATTTCCTCCACAGCTTCCGGGAATTCCTCTAGCATCCGCTCCGTCACCCGAAAGCTAGGAACAAAGGGTGTCTCTCCACCTTCCGGTGGCGGCACCTCACAGTATAGTAGTAATGTCTTTGGAGATTCCTTTATCTGGTAAACAATGGCATTGTAAGATATAGTTAGAGAATTAAACACCAGTTTTCACGGCTGACTAGTGAGCAGACATACAAGAACCATTTCATGGTGGTAATATATGAACTCAGAGAGAGGTCCTTCGTTAGCTGTCCAGACACGTCCATATACATGCGTCCGAGGTGCCGGTCCAACATAACGAATGTCATCCCAACCAAAGGCCTCGACGATATCATTGAAGTCCTGTGCATTATTGACGTCGAAACCTCGGAGGAGGACAGCACTGTTTTTTGATGATCAATTTCTCAAACCAATCCTGGTTTGTCTTTAAAGCCAAGAGAAGCGAGTGCATATCAGCCTTGTCGGCCTCAGCGGGTTGCAGAACCAACGGCATGGTTTCACCGTCCACTAGCTTCTGGCCTTGGCATTTCCCTACCTCGAAATCCTTGCAAGAGAATTCCATATCTTCCTTTGCCTGCTGGTGCTTGATTCCTATTTGTGTTGTTATGACGCTGTTGGTGTCACTGAAATGGAATTTAAATACTAGCAAATGGAATATATGTGTTCACGCCATTGGCATCTCCTAGGCAAGGTTCAAAGGAATGAGACAGATTATGCCTTGTTTGTTCTAGCCATCATCGACGGCTTTGGGTTTGAATCAGTGCGCTCCATGTGTAAATCCCATTTAGATAAACAACAAAATGCAGTTGAATATATGTGATTTGTTTAGTAGTTACCGTCCCGGCCCCCACAATTGCACAAGAGTAGGAAGGAACGGACAAATTGTCAAGCACAAAAGTCCGTTAAAAGGGTGCTTAGAGTTGAGATTCTCAAGATTCCAGGGTGAAAATAAAGTAAACAGAGATGTAGAATATTACACAAAATTTATTGTTCTTTGCGACGTTCAATCAGTGACGGATCCAGAAATATTTTTTTGAGAGTGGATACACATATATTAATTATTTGATATTTTTCCTACGAAATGAACACAAATAAAGTTTTAAGGTGAACACCAATAATAAAATAAATAACTGATATAAAAAAAAGTTCAGATTTTAAAACAGTCACGTGTCCACCCTAAACATACTTTACTGCCGGCAGTGTCTCCGATATTGAGTTTAACACCAACTCTTATTTTATTACCTGTATGACCAGATCAAAGGGTTCACCCATGGTGCAGTAGCTATGCCACGCTATCGGCTCATGCTACTTTAATCTTTTAATCAGTTGTATATCTTCGTAATCATATAAAAATATTGAAAATATTTTCTACAGATATAAATGTATAATAAGGCAGTACCTGAACTATATACAAGTTTATCATATTAACGATAGGTTCGTCCATATATCATTTAAAAATCTATATAATAAGTGTCGTAACCGATTTTCGTCCGGGCACGAAATTTTTTATTTGGCGGGAAAAGTGATGTGAATAAATGGTTTTTTAAAATAATTTGGGAGTCGCCATCGGCCTTTTGGGTTAGGTAGGTCAAATACCTAAAAATTATCTTTTAAAAGAGTTTTAAGAAAACATTAGTTAAAAGATGAACTGATCTGCGTTTATAACCAAAAATTCGTTCTTTTTAATAATAAAAAGGGATTCGTAGTCGGTTACGTTTAGGGAAGGATTAGCACCCCTACAACGTCCAAAATTGGTACTTTTTAATTATAAATTGTCTCTATTATTAGAAATTTAAAAATTCAAAGATATATTTAATTCATAATTCTACTATTTCAAATAATTTTAAGAAAATATTAATATACATAAATAAGATATTTACTTATTTAGAAATATCAGAAAAGGGCTTCTAGGTACCTTAAGACAACTCTTTTCTTTGATATTAAAAATAAATAAATATCAAAATATGATTATTTTTCTTAAAAGTAATTTATAAAATTAAATTTATAAATAAGAAAATAGAATAAATAAATAAATATTATATATATATTTATATAACTTAATAATAAAAATAATCATGAAGATATATATCAAAAGTAATAATAAAATAAAATAATAATAATTAAAATGAAAGAAAACAAAAGTAATAATATTAAAACTATTGGATCATATTCATAAATATATGAACCTAAAATGTAAAAATAATAAAACTTATGGTTAAAACTAAGATTATATAAAATTTAATGATCAAATTATAAAATATAAATATTTAAGAGACATGGTTAGAATTATCATAAAATATAAATACTAGTAGTATAATTAGCCATTAATTATTTAATAGGTGATTAAAATAGAAATATTAAAATTATTAGGGACTAAATGTGATATTTATCCTAAATATATTATTTAATACTGGTAAGGACTAAAACATAATAAAATAAAATTCGAATACTGAATTAGAACATTCAGAAGTTAGTTTTAGTGACTAAAATGAATAATTACAAAACTCGGATGGCTACGGAAGGGGTTTAGCCATACATGTAAATTACGCATATACCCCTTCCCAAAACGACGTCGTTCGGGAAGGGGTATATATACCCCTTCATAGCTGGCCCGAAGGGCCAGCAGCCTCATTGTTCTCTTCTTCTTCTTCTCTCAAAAACGAGAGAAGAAGAAGCTCTCTCTTCCTTCTCTCTTAATTCCCTCACCGGAGGGAATTCCGGCGTCGATAGCCACCGCCAACCTCACCGCCGGCCACCGCCTCCGATGGCCGGAAAATAAAACTTTATACCACAACGTAGATCGGATCGTCCTAATGACGATTCCGATATTTGTTTACCTTAAAAAGCTCCCAATCGGAGCAAATCTATAAAAATACCTTCGGTTTTCGAAGGTTTGTTGTGGAGCGTGGAGGCGCGTGGTTACTCCGGTGGTGGTGTGGCTTTCCTCGGTAAGGTTTCTTTCGATTTTTATCTCGTTATTTTGGTGTTTGATGGTGGTTGGATTGCTTGCTGTTGGTGTTGTTGTCTCCCGTTTGCTGGCTGTCCTCTTTCTTTCGCAGGTGGTCAATGGCTTTATAGCCATCATCAAGACGCTCATCGGACCGGTTAAAGGAAAGGAGTTGGTGAGTCACCGAGCTATGTGGTGACTCACCATAGAGCTCGACATGGACGGTCGGTGTTGTAGCAACTGTAACACCCCCAACCCGTATCCGACCCGGATACGAGTCCGAAGTATCACATTGACTTTTCAAACATTTATTCGTATAAAATAGTAAGTAATTTAAAAACTTTGATAACATTTAAATTATTTCAAAACGTTTACAACAGATATCAGAGTTCATACCATTTATATCTTTAGACTACATGCCAACTACACTCTGTAAACAGTACATACATTTTCTGATCTGACATTTGGTAAGGAGAACTGACCTGTCTTGCTCCACATTACTCTTTATTCTTCTCGAAACCTACGTGTGAAACAATCACACGCTAAGTCGTTGACTTAGTGAGGCAATAATTAAACATATAACAATAAATTCATGAACGTGCATTCATACCATTGAATCATGACATTTCAATATGCATGTATCTATTGCATGATAACAATATATATAATCATGTCATACACACACGCAACATATCTTCTTGTATTACTTTCACTTTTCGTTTGTCTTCCAATTTCATTGCCCATGTATATTATTATCTTTATCAACATCATTATAATTCAAGCAACACATGACATATCACCATAAGTATATACATCACATATATCTTATACATATAAACACATGGCTCATTTACGCGTAGAACATTTCCATATAATTCACATGTCACATATCTCATGTTCTTGCATTCATATAACATATACATATTCTCATATATTTTCTATCGTTTCTCACACAATCACATTTATTCATGTATAGTATTTCATCTAAACCGTATAATAATGTCATATACTCATATCACCGAATAACTTCACCTGAATATATCTTTTGTTCGTTTCAATGCTTAATTCATATAACACATAAGTTTTCCTTATGTCATTTATGCTAATATTCATATACTCTTAGGTTATCTC